GGGATTTTATAAGCTGACATTCCAAAGTGATTAATGGGGTTGGGTGCTCCACAGACTTATCATTTCATGTTCTTTTGGCAATCCTGGACAGGAACCGCCATTGGTCACATTTGTGATGTGCTGGGAGCTTTGCTCTACCTACAGCCACAAGTAAAATCAATACAGTGAATGCTAAAAATAAACAACAAGATAATATCCCTTTGTCATGGCGTTAAGACTTTTGCTTATAACACACAGTGAGCACTAGGATCATAGGAAGCTGCCTTATACAAAGTCAGACCATTGGCTCATTCAGTTCAGTACTGTCAACACAGACCAGCAGTAGGTCTCCGGGATTTCATGCAGGAGTCTCTCCCAGCTGTACCTGCAGATAACCAGGGATTGAACATGGGACCTTTCGTATGCAAACCATGTGCTATACCACTGAGCTATGGCACTCAATGTTAAATGAACCAGAGGGGAAACGGCATGCTCCATTGCGGAGTGGGACCTGAGGCACAGTAGTAGCATCTCATCAGTGTCTGCAAGCCATAGAATAATGATGTGTTTGGCCCTACATACGCCTCATTCCCCGCCCCATGGCAGGCCCAAAAATGTGTTGTTTTTTTCTGGCTTAAGGGTGTTTAGGTCCTAAATTGGGAGTCTGGAAAGACAATGTGCTATACAGATGGAAAGCAGCATTAGGTACTTATGTGAGAGTTACATGTAAATGTTATTGGCCTTTCTGTAGCAACATTATTACTCCATGTAAATATTATCAAAGCGATGGAAGTTTGGGGAGTTTCTTTACGGCTGAGAGTGAAAACCTTTGTTTTCAGTGAGATTTCTCCTGTCACCCAAATACAACAATAACATGTTTCAGGTTAAGATAAGACATTTCAGAGAGATATATCTACATTGGTCTCTTGCAGCAAAAAGTCTTGTGGCACTTTTGGGACTAACAAATGGCTTTGTGGACTAAAAATAAGATTGTGTACAGTTTTTCATTTTGTGTTTTTTTTTAAAAAATTTGAGTAGTAGTTTAAGATGGATTAGAAAATGTTTTTCTAACTCATAATACTATAACTCAGGGACATCTGCTAAAGCTGAATATTCGAAGATTCAGGAAGGACAAAATAAAATCCGTCTTAGTTAAATCTATGAAATTTGCTCCCACGAGATGTAGTGATGGACACCAATTTAGATGGACAAACTCGTGAAGGCTAAAGCTACCAGTGGCTTCTAGCTTTGATGGCTGTGTACTGCTTTCAGTATTAGAAGCAGTATTGCTTTGAAATACCTGTTTCTGGGGAGCACCAGTGAGGAAAGTACTGTTCTACTTAAGTCCTGCTTGTGGACTTCCCGTGGGCAGATGGTTGGCCACTGTGAGAATAGGATGCTGGACTTTTGGCTCGTTCCCGTTCTTATAAGAGGCAGGGGATCAGTTACAGGATCATCTTAAAGCACAACTAGCCATGCATCCCCATCTTGTCCATTAAAATCTCTTCATCGGTACCTCTGCAATCTCCGAACAAGTTCTGAAAACCCCTTTAGCTCTGACCTGCTTGCCAGAAAATTTCCCTTTTCAGCTACTGCTGCTTACTCTCCTCTGTGAGAACAGGATGCTGGCTTAAATGGGCATTGGGCCTGATCCAGCAGGGCTCTTCTTGTGTTCTTAAGCTAAAAGGAATCTGGGGGAAACACAGGTAATGTGACAATAATTTTCATAACATATGCACAAAAGTGCCATCATTTTCAACTCATGTATCCCATCTGAAGCAGATTTAGGTAAGCCTTTTAAAAAACAAAAACCTTAGGCTGCTGCATTTTGTTTTGTTTTTTAAACCAAAGACTATTTGAGGAGAAAGGGGTTTTGTCGGTAGTTGTTCACTCCATGTTGGTAACTTCCCTATTTCAGTGTTACTCTCATCACTCATTTTATAGCCCTTGGCTCTGTTTACAGCAACCGTTAAATGCTGCCCTAACTAGAGAATTACTCATTCCCCCACAGGGTGTCCTACATCACTCCTTCCTTTATCAACAAGTGTCATTTATCTTCACAACATCTCATCTTGATTAGCTAATACGTTATAATGATGAAAATGCTCCTTTAATTTGGGGTCCCCTCCTTAAGATTCATGCCCTGATTAGTAGTAGTTCTTACACAGCATTGTCTTGTGTTCAGCACTTGGAATTCCCTTACTACACCCTAGGATCTCAAACAGTGGAGCAAATGTCTTCGGGATTTATGCAGGAAGCCTGTGGAGAGGAGGGCAAGAGTTCCCTCACTACTTACATACACAGATGCACAACCTTTAACATTCTTGTGTCCCATTTTGCAGACCCTCCTTTGTAGCTTTCTATACAATAGTACCTCAGTTTAAGAACAGTCCTGTTTAAGCAAGAGTCGGTTTACGAACTCCGCAAAACTGGAAATAGTGTCTCAGTTTGCAAACTTTACCTCGGTCTAAGAACGGAATCCGAACGGTGGAAGGGCACTGGTGGTGGGAGGCCTCATTAGGGAAACGGTTTTGGTTTAAGAATGGACTTCCAGAACGGATTAAGTTCATAAACCGAGGTACCACTGTATGTACATTTGTGTGGCCAAGGATTCCTGTGAACAAGTTGTGAGCAAACTGTTGCTAAACTTGCTTGGAACCTTGCACGTCTTAACATATAAAGCGTCTGTGAGCCCTGAGTTACGCATTCTGAACATCAGTGGGGAACAAACAGTTAGTCATCACAAAACTTCGCAGTCGTGTGGGTTATGCACCTAGCAAGATAATTTGACTAGTCTTTCATGTCAACTATGGCCAAGGCAAGTTCCGTTTTGCATACAAGCAAGGCAGGTGTTCTTAAAAGGTAACAGCCTCAGCTCCTGCAACAAAAAGTATTTGCTCTGAGTACAATATTGATGTGGAATGAACAAACTACATCATGGAAAAGCTAGCATGAAATTACATAACAAGAACTAGGTGTGTGCAGACACACCTCAAAACAGGAGTGGGCGGGTGCATTTTTATCTCCTGCCAGGCTTACTTCCACATTCATCTTGCAATTTAGGATGTGTTTGCTTCCTTTTCCAGTGCTGATTTAGGCTTCATGTCCTCCTCTCTCTCCCCCCACCCCCAATGTTAGCAGGGCTGTCCTTTTTATGTTTTAAAGAACAACGTGTACGCTTATGCAATTAAAAGCTCACTTCGTGCTTAAAATAAATAAATTAAAATCTGCTCTCATGAAAGGGGGTTGTTTCTTGGTGATAACATAGATACTAGCCTATCAGCCCCAGCCACAAAACACTTCTGAAGGAAACTCCTTGGATCTTGATCTTGAAGAAAGGCTTGTGTGCCTGATCAAAATGGTGTGAGTGCCCTTCTTTGGACTCCACTTGTTCTTAGGGACACCTGTTTACACCTGACGTCATCTTAGTATATATTGACAAAGAGACAGAGGTAATGCACCAAATCTCTGCCATCGCCATTGAAGGTCTGAGCTGGCAAACTTATTTCAGAAGAAGGGTGCTTTTTATTAGATTTTTAAATGATATTTTGTGAGATCATGGGGATTCACAACTGTTATTGGTTTGGCCCCAAAACAGTATTTCAGTTCTTTGAAAGGTGAATTTTAATCCCACTCTAGGAAGACAGGTTCATTCCTCCAAAGAAGCCATAGCTCATTGGTAGAACACAGGGCATGTATCCCAGCTCACTGTCTGGCACAGCAGGTTCCGAGTTGCAGGCCTTGGAAAGCCCCAAGCCCTTGGACAGGCATTGCAGCAAGGTGAGCTGCTTGAGCCAATGGCATGATGAGACTGTGGTGAAGCAGCCATGAGATTTCTTCAGAATACTGTACATGTTGCTTGCAGCCACTCATTTTATTATGCCATTGCAAAAACTCCCCAAAGTGGACTGAGCAACAGCACAGTAAGTGTGAAGAAAGTTGGATAGGGAACACATGCGTGACTGTTGAATCCACTACATGGATTCATCTGACCTACACAAATGCCAAATTAATCATGGAAATTAACATATAGGCAATTTTTCAATGGGTTTCTCAGTGTGATGGGAATCTAGAATTCCCTTTTGTATCCCAGGGTTGCTTCCATACTAGAGTGCTGGCAAGGCATTCCTTTTCCATAGTTAATTGGAAGGCAGCAGAATTAAATTAGCAGTTCTACACAAGGATTATATTATCCAGCAGTGCCCTTCTCCATGGCCAAGATCTTGCTATAATGTTTACTTAGAATTAAAGGTTCCCAGCAACATTAATTATAAGTACAACCCTATGCTCAGAAGCCCCATTGAGTCTGATGGAACTTCTCACATAAGTATTAGAGTTTTGCAATTCCTGTTTGAAGGTTTTGCTTGTTGCATGACTTTCTGAGGACTGGTAATAAATGACCCTTCAGTAGCCAAGTTCTGTTTCTGTATGGAGTGAGAAGCATTAATTACTTAAGCCATCATTTTTTTGCTTCCGTATATGCAAAATACTATTTCAATTAAAGATTGGGAGGGGAAGTATTTTAGTAACTCTTGTTACCTTCTAAACTCCTGAAATGGAAGAAGTAAAAGGAAATTTGGTGCTAATTGCCCATCTTCAATCAACAGGAAGCCATAAAACAGGTAGAACTTGCAAACAAATTTTTTTAATGAAAAGTACAGAAGCTCATTTTTTAAAAAACTGCCACATGTCATCTTCCCCCCGGCCATCCATGAACTGACAACAGAAAATACTGCAATGCAGTGAGCTAATAAAAGATGTATGGATGTTCCATAAAAAATCTAATGAAAAGGTTAAGTGGGGAAGTAGTCTCTGATCTGTGGTGGTTTTAGAACCTTATTGTATATAGTGACCATTGCTTTTTCCTTAATCTTGCATTCTTCTCATTGATCCTATCAACTTAGCATATCAAAATATCATGTATTCCTACTGTGGCCAAAGAAATAAGACAGTTCCTTTATTAATCTATTTATTGTTACCCATGTGTTTTAACCTTTCTTGCAAATAATTATACATACCAGACAAGATGTTGGAATTCCTAGAGACCACCCGCTCCACTGGATACCATCTTCATTTATAATGTACAATAGAGATGGAGAACTTGTGACCCGCCCTCCAAGGTGTTGTGGGACTCACCCCCAGGCAGTGTGGCCAAAAAGATGGGAGTTGTAATCTATAGGAGGGCCACAGGCTCCCCATCCCTGATATACAACGAGAATGGTAACCAACCTCCATAGAGACATTTTGGCAAAGGAGTTGCTGCGCTCAGTTAATTGGGAATCGGTCAGTTGTGATGAAACCAACATAAGAATAGGACAATGGCAGTACGGCATTTGCAACCAACCACTTATTTCAACTGGAAACAGCCATTAAAAAAGGGACAGTTTTCCATCATGATGTGATCTGCCTACACAAACCTCTTATTCACATTGCTGCCAGTCAGATTTTAGCTGACACTGTCTAGGATTCAATTTGGATAAGACAGTTTCAGCCATCTTAGCCTAGTAACAACAGTACCTAGAATTTATAGGGTGTGTCTCAAGCACTTTACATCTCAACAGTTTTTACAGCCATCTGATAAAGCAGTTCAGTAGCATAGGCGCCGACTCCATGGGGCTTGAGGGGGTCGAGCCCCCTCAAAAAAATTTTTGGGGGGCTCAGCCCCCCAATAATCTCGGGCGCCGGGGCGGGGGCTCCTGCCTCGCTGCTTCGCAGCACCACCGCCACTGCCAAGGCACTGCCGGGGGGAATTTCCTTCCTCCTGGCGGTTTCAGCCCCCGCGAGAACAGGGGAATCCCGACTGGCCACACCTCCCAGCCAGCCAATCGGCTGGCTGGGGGGCGTGGCTTGCCCTATTTAGGGCCGGAGCCACTTTATTTGCATATTCGTGAGCTTATTTATTATTCATGAGCTTTCCCGGGCCCCCCCAATATTTTTTATAAGTCCGCGTCCCTGTTCAGTAGTATGATATCGCTGAGGAAAGAGACACAATGGCTTACAACTTTGGGTGTGTGCTCCCCCTAAAAAAAAAGGTCAAGTTCCGGCACCTCTTTTTCTAGGGGGAAAAGCCCTGAATTCTACCCTTCACAGCCAGCAGGAGGAATCCTGCAAACAGCAAGATACTCCCTGCTTGTTGGCACTGCAGCACCCCCTGGCGGTCAGGAAACACACCTCTGTGTGGATTTCCCTCAGACTTCCCATCCGATTGCTGGCTCGCTCAGAGTGCAGACAACTTGGCAATCTCTTCTGCCAAGTTCTTAAAAGTCTCTGCTAAGCATGCATAAGCTGCAATGTTTTGGAGGCTTCCAATCTGGCCAAATGTGGGCAGATTTTCCTGAGGCCGACAAAAGCAAGGCTCTTGCGTAACACCAAAGTGAGACCTGTCTGTTGCCAAATTTCAAGTCCTTGCTCCAAAGCACAGAGGTGCTGGAATTTCTCAATGAAAACGTTGGAAGAACTAGGCTTGGGGTTTTTTAAAAAGCAAAAAAACACACACATGCATTTTGTGCCTCGGGCCCATCATTCCCATTATGACTGCAACTTTTTCTTTTTAAAAAATCAGCCCAAGGGAAACACTGGTGACTGCACAGCTTTTGCATTGATGGTTATAATTGGGCAAAGATATGAGGAACTGGAAATGGTCTTATAGCGGAAAGTTAAGCAACCTCAATAGACGTCATTGGCAGCTTCAGTTTGAATGAAAGCCGAGTTGGAACATCTAATGTTACAGTTTCCCAAACTTTTTTTTTAATGGTTTGCCCCCTCATTTCTATGGTTACTATATACAAGATCCCCAAATCTTGGCAACATAACATCTGTATGGTGCAATTCAAGTTTGTATACTCTGTGTATCAAGTTTACCACCTACTTAACCTATCTGAATAACTTCCAGCAGGTTATCTCTTGCTCTCTTTCATATTGCCAGAAGCAGCAAAGGAAAGGGCAGTGTGGTGTGATAGCTAGTGAACTAGCTTTGGAATGTTCTTATCCCTACTTGGCTTTAAAGCTTTGAGCAACGTGTTCTCATCACTGACAGGATGGTTGTTAGAGAAAACAAAGGAATAAGAAAGCATGTAATAAATCCATTAATTATAAGAAAAAGCGGAATGAAATAGCTTACCTAATTTTCACTGACAAAGAAAAGGAGCTTCTCACATCAGTCCTAATTCTTTTCTTCAAAATTCTCATTACCCCCCCCCCACCCTTTCTCCCTGTGCATTTAAAAGTACGAAGGACTCATCCACACGGGAGCTAAATTTAGATATGACGCTGCTTGTGCATCTTTTTTGTGGCATCCACACAGCATCCTCCTCACCCTGCTAAATTCAGATTTTCTGATCTGCAGATAATCTAATAAGAGAAGAAAATCCAGTAAGAAATTGCAAGTTGTCCAACTGTGGACACACAAAAACATGTTATGTGAGCAGGTTTATTTACAGGTGTGCTGGCATTTTGCTGTGTGTTGTTGTTGTTTTGCCCACTATGCAAATTTTTCAATGTGTTCAGTTCTAGAATTATTAATATTTATGACTGTACAGAATAGCATTGACATTGGCTTTCCGTCTCATCAATAAATGCTATTTTGCCCACTAACCACTACTCCTGGAAAAAATTGGATACTTATTACTTACATACTTTTACTCAGAAAAAAGTTGCACTTTCTTCAGTGGGATTTGGTTCTGAATTAGAGTACAATCCTTAGTATTTAAATAAGTGATCCTGCTTCTTATTCTTGCATGTATATATGCTCATCTATAAACAGACATCATTCTACAGCACAAAAAGTTTGTGAGTTGCACAGTCAAAGATTTTGACTATCTCTCTTGGCCTCTCTTTTCCCAAGTTGATCCCAAGTACTCAGAGGAAGTACGAAGTTTTAAAGTAATGGGTGCAGATTGCCCCCTACTGTCCAAGGAAAGAGGGGAAAACAACAGAAACTTCATACCAAAAAGCCTTCCAATTAAGAAGTAGCCAATAAAGGATGCTTCCAGACTGTCACTATTTTGGGGTGGAATTCAGTCACATACCAGCAAATTCAGATTGGACTTTGCAATAAGGAAAGTGATGGTGAAATGCAATGGAAAGTGTGGAATAATGCTTGATACAACATTATATAACCTCCCTGCAAACAAATCAATATGAATGCTCATTAAATAGCCCCTGTCGTCAAATCTGCCCACAAACAAATCATTATAAATAATAAACAGGTCATCAGAAGCACCCCAATATGTTTTTAAATAAGAATAGAATGGACAATCATTTTGATCTGAAAGCGGTATAGTAGCATATACCTAGTAGCCAATCAAATTGACAAAAGTAATTACAGTTGCACCTTGGAAGTTAAACAGCCTAGTTCTCGAACATTTTGGCTCCCGAACTATCAAAACCCAGAAGTGACTGTTCCGGTTTTTGAACCTGCTTTTGGAAGCTGAACATCCGATGATGCTTCCACAGCTTCCAGTTGGCTGAAGGAGCTTCCTGAAGCCAATCAAAAGCCGTGCTTTGGTTTTGGAAGTCAAACGGACTTCCGAAACAGATTCCATTTGACTTCCAAGATACGACTGTATTTATAGCCTGTTCTACAATTGCACTCGGAGCAGCCCTCATTAAAAAATATCATGCAAGTGCATTTTGAAACAATTAAAAATTAAAAGCAGAAAATAAAAACCAACTTTAAAAACAAAACAAAACCCTAAGTTAGTTTTAATCAGTTAGGAATATTTTTATTGTGTGCAACCAATGACCATAACAATGAAACTCACAAAAAGCAAACAATCCTATCTAAGAGTAAGTTCTTAAAACATACAGTTCTCATAATCATTTAGATTAAAACAATCACCTTGGCAGTTAAGATTGTGTTGGGTCAAAAATGTAGCCCATAAGTTTCTCATTGCTAGTAAATGAAAAGCTGTAGTAGAAAACAAAATGAACTACTTAGCCAGCAACCATCTAATTTTGCAGAGAAGTTTTTAATTGGTCGATTACAAGCTACCTTTTCAGCTCCTATCTAAAGTAGCTTAGCAGGGGCGCCGACTTATAAAAAATATTGGGGGGGCCCATACCGGGGTCCTGCAGCTGGTTCGCTCGGGTAGCTGGGAGAACGCAGTTCAAGGTGGCGGTGTTGGGGAGAGACCCTCGCTCAGGGCGCCATGAGACTTGGCGGCTGGCGGCCTATCTGGGGGGTTTTGGAGCATATTTCGGCGGAGCGATTGGGGAGGAGGGGGCTTGTTGCCGGATTCTTCAGCTGGGCCGGAGATCCGCTGCTGGGGGTCCCTGGGCTGAGTTGTGAGCACGGCCTGCTGAAGGGAGATCCAGCCGATTGCGCGACGGGGACGGCCGGGGCTCTCCGGCTAGGGAGCGCGGCTGGCTGGCTGGCGAGGGAGCAGGTGGGGAGGAGGCGGGGGTCCTCACTCTCTTAGGAAACGCACCCGTGCGCCCGATTGCCACGAAGTCCGAAGGGTGCGTGTGTGGAATTAAAAAGCAAAAATGAGATACAGGCAGGGCAGGCAAAGAGTTTTCCGCAAGAGGATGGAGGGCAGGTTGAAGAGAAAATCACTCAGGATGAGACAGTCAAATCAGCCATGATAAAATGGGCTCAGGATATTGGGTATAACATCATGTTTGAGGACTGGGAAAGGTTATGGACCACCGGAATGAAATTCACGGCATGTAATGCCTTGAAGGAAAATATTATGAAAATGATTTATAGGTGGTACATGACCCCAGTCAAGCTTGCAAAAATATATCACCTGTCTGATAATAAATGTTGGAAATGTAAGGAGGCTGAAGGGACATTCTTTCACCTCTGGTGGACTTGTCCAAAAGTGAAGGCCTTCTGGGAAATGATCTATAATGAGTTAAAAAGGGTATTTAAGTATACCTTTCCCAAGAAACCAGAGGCCTTCCTCTTGGGCATTGTTGGCCAGAAAGTGTTAAAGAAGGATAGAACTTTCTTTATGTATGCAACTACAGCAGCAAGAATACTTATCGCAAAATATTGGAAGACACAAGATTTGCCCACACTGGAAGAGTGGCAGACGCAATTGATGGACTACATGGAACTGGCTGAAATGACTGGCAGAATCCGAGATTTGGGAGAAGAAACAACGGAAGAGGACTGGAAAAAAATTAAGGACTATTTACAAAAACAATATAAGTTGTATGAATGTTAAAAATTTACACGATTCGGAAACTATAGCTTCAGCAATTAGATTTGGGAAACAGGAAATTATATTTTAAGTAAGAAAAGGTCAAAATCTAAGGTAATACTGTACTATGTTTAATTTAAGATATAAGTAACTGATGAAAAGTATGTTCAATTTAGAGGTATAGTATTTGAAAAGTACAAAATAAGGTACGAAACAAGGTAATAATTTGCTGATATCTTTATTATAAAGAATGCAGGGTAAGGGAGATGCGAGGAAGTCCAGTTAGTTATATAAAAAATGTGTTGAATGGTTGGTTTTCTTTTCTTCTTTTTCTTTTTTTCCCCTTGTTCTTTTACTTTTTTCTTCAGTGTATGTTTCTAACTTTGTATTTGAAAACTTAATAAAATATTTATATATAAAAAAGGGAAAATCCTTTCGCTTTT